AGATGATGTGTCCATTGCAGTGACTGGGGAGTTAAAGTCCCCTATGATTAATGTATTATTACCAATGAGTTTCTTTAATTTTTTAATTAATTGGTTAATATAATTGGCGGCTCCCATGTTAGAGGCATAAATATTTACAATTGTTAGATCTTCTCATTGGGTAGACTCTTTAATTATGATATAGTGTCCTTCTTTGTCTCTTATTTCAGTCTTTGGTTTAAAATCTAATTTGTCTCATATAAGGATTGCCACCCCAGCTTTCTTTTGAGGTCCATTAGCATGATACATGGTCTCCACCTCCAGTTTCAGTCTGGAGGTGTCCTTGGGTCTAAAATGAGTCTTTTGCAGACAGCATATGGATGGTTCTTATTTTTCTATCCAGTCTGAAACACTGAGCCTTTTGACTGGAACATTTAGCCCATTTACATTCAGAGTAACTATTGAAAGATAAGAATTTAGTGCCATTTTATTACCTGTAAAGACCGTTTTTCTGTAGACTATCTCTGTTCTTTTCTGGTCTTTGTTACTTTTGGGCTCTCTCTTTGCTGAAAGAATCCCCCTTTTATATTTTTTGCAGGGCTAGTTTGATCACAGATTCCTTTAATTTCTGTTTGTCCTGGAAGCTCTTTATCTCTCCTTCCATTCCAAATGACAGCCTTGCTGGACAAATTATTCTTGGCTGCATATTTCTCTCATTTAGCACCCTGAATATATCATACCAGCCCTTTCTCCCTGCCAGGTCTCTGTGGACAGGTGTGCTGCCAGTCTAATGTTTCTACCCTTATAGGTTACCAACCTCTTGTCCTGAGCTGCTTTCATGATTTTCTCTTTGTCTCTGAGATTTTCAAGCTTCATTATTATATATTACAGTGTTGACCTATGTTTACTGATTTTGAGGGGGGTTCTCTGTGCCTCCTGGACTTGAATGCAGTTTTCTTCCCCAGATTAGGGAAGTTCTTTGCTATAATTTGCTCCAATATACCTTCTGACCACTCCCCCCTTTCCTCTTCCTCTGGGATTCCAATTATTCAAATATTGTTCTGCTTATGATCTTACTGATCTCACAAATCCTCCATTCATGATCCAGTGGTTGTTTATCTCTTGTTTTCCCGGTTTCTTTATTCTCCATCATTTTGTCTTCTAGATCACAGACTCTCTCTTCTGCCTTGTTTATCCTAACAGAGTCTCCATTTGTGCTGGCATCTCTTTAATAGCCTTTTTTATTTCAACCTGATTAGATTTTAGATCTTTTATTTCTACAGTAAGGGACTTTCTAGTGACTTTTATCCTTTTTTTCAAGCCCAGTTAGGATCTTTATAATCATTGTTTTGAATTCTAGTTCTGACATCTTCCTTGTATCCACAATGATTAAATCCCTGGCACTCGGTACTTCCTCTTATTCTCTTTTTTTGGGGTGAGTTCTTCTGTCTTGTTATTCTGTGTTTCCAAAAAAAGGTCACTTTACTATTTGTAGAATTGCAGCAATTTTTTTCTTAGATCTCTGGTTGAGTTCGCAGGTGTTCAGAATGATTTGACAGCTATCTAGCTGAATTCCAGGGACCAGATGAAATTAGGGTCCCCTACTCCTCCACCATCTTACCTCTCTGTCCCAGAGAATGGGTTTTAGAACCCAACATGAGTGGGGGTGCTAATTGTCACTGCAGTGTCATTGCTTTAAGGATTTCATAGAGAATGATTTAGGAAGTATGTACTCAGACCTCCCTACATTCATGTATATCGCATGCACACATTCACTGAGAGACACATAAACGCAAGTTCACACCAAGAGCACCAGTTCTAGACAAACCACAGTGTGCATCCTCCTCTGTTCCTGACAGGAACCCGGCCCCCTTTGTCCAGAACATATTTGCTCACTGGCTCAGTCCTAGAAGACACAGACCATTGTCTCATGATTGCTGCCATTGCAAGAATCCTGCCCACTCAACATTTGCTTATACTTATTTTTTCCATTAGTCCAAATACCATTCTCCAAAGTTGCATAGATTAGTTTTTCTTTTCTTGGTGGTGGTTTTATTCATTTGAAATCTAATTTTGTTCATTTTTTGAGTTTCAGTTGTTTACCAGTGTGCATTCAAGCCTTGTTGATTCAGTCTGTTGTTAACGTTAAAAAATAAAACTGCCAGTTATTTTTGAAGCAAAAATGGGTTTATTTGGGAACAGCACTCTGTGATAAGCAAGCTACAGCAAAGCCCTAACAAATGCAAAGAGCAAAGCAGAAGCAAAGGCAGAGCAGCTCTTTCCTAGAGGAGAGCAAGATCTGGGAGGCTCTTCGAAACAAAAAGTCCCTTTCAAGGAAGCAGAGACTTGAAGTGTAGTGGCTTCTCATTGGCTGGGCTGGGACTGTCCCTCACTGGCTGGGTGGGACATACCTCATTGTTTGGGCCTTTGTGGGTAGGAGGAAGCTTTCTTTCCTCCCTGGCCGGTATTGAAGTAGTAGCATCCGCCTGGCCTGTTCCCATGAGGTCTGCAGCAAACCACCAGCGCAGTCCCTCCCTGCCCTACGTGGCCAGCCCGTCAGCAGAGGGCAGGCCTGGGCAGGCTGCTGGCAGGGCTGGCCACAAGCACCACCTGCTTCCTGGATGGATCCCCAGCCCCTCCTGCAGGCGCAGAAGGTTCCTGGGGTCACTCCTCCCCTCCCACATAACCATACTGGGTCAGGGAGAGTTCTAGGACGTTACCACAGGGGCACTTGTCCACTGTGTGCCACAGCCAGACCCACAGTTCTGAAGGAAGCGTGAGGACTGCCTGGGTGCCAGGAAAGACTTCTTAATCAGCGTCCAGGATGCCCACCAGGACCCAGACTGCTCTCTTTCTCACTGGCCTCTTATTCAGGGTTCCCATGTGACCAGATGGCGGCCAGAGTGCCAGGTTCAGCAGAAACCTGTGTTCCAGGAAGAAGTCCCCTCCCCTGGGCACCAGGACCCCTACCCCTCAGAACCCAGAGCTGCCTGACAAGAGCACATTCACCAGGGGCATGGGGCTCAGTGTTGCCCCAGTGCTGGAAGGGAAGGGCTCAGGACTGAGCCCAGGGACTGCGAGAGAAGGGAGGCATGACCCCAGCAACCTCGCTCCCAGTTTCCCCAGGGGGGAAGCTCCAGGATTGGGGCTCCTCCAAGGTGACTCCTGCCTTGTCTCCCACCTGCGTCAGCTCAGCTGCAGAGAGGACCCACCAGCTGGCAGGGCACTGGAGCCTGCTGCTGGTGGGAGGGATGGGTGCTGGGAGGGGAGAACTCTGCCCTCTCAGACCCAGGATCGCTGGCCTGAGTGGGCCCGCTCCTCTCCCCAAGACAGGGGCCCAGGGAGAAGCTGCAGGAGGTAGGCGTGGAAGCAGAATCAGACACAGGGATGAAGTGGTCCCATGGGGTGGGCAACCACAGAGTGCCCAGGGCTCAGAGGAGGGCAGGGTGGGGAAGGGCTTGCGAGGCAGGGAGGTGGGCCTGGCAAGCTCAGGGTGAGACTGCAGGTTGAGCCCCTTGGGGTAGGGACCAGCCTATCCTACCCTGCCCCATGGCATCCCTCCAGAAACCTCTAACCAGTTCAACCCCATAATTGGCAAAGTTGGGCTGAGTCTGAGGAGCACACAATAAGTACATGGATCAAAGCACCAAGGACGCTTCCATCAGGGATGTGTGATGTGGACAGGGCCCACATGGTGGGCTTACGCTGCTGTTGAGGACTCTCCACCTATGTCCCCCCCACCCGTATTCCGGCTCTGCACTGGCCTCAGGAATCCTTCAGGTATCTCCTTGGTAGCCACGTGAAAATCCTGAATCTGTGTTTCTCCGAAAAGGTGCCTGTTCAAATTGGTGCAGAAAATACGCAGGAGTAAAGGGGCTGAAACTGGTGAAGGGTCAGAGCCGATTCACTGCATGTGCTATTAGTAAAAATATGCTTTGGGGGATGTCATGTTTCGATTCTGTGGTGCTTTCAAAGGGGACGAAGTGCTTGTGACATGACTGCGTGACTGTGCTAGCGCCTCCTAGGCTGAAATCTAAGAGTCCTTCTTGGTGAACCTGGCTGTCAGCCTACAGAGGTGAGCCAAGGGCACCTGGCCGGATGCGCTGGTTGGGTGCACTGGGGCTTCATGGTGGGCCTCGCCACCCGCCTCGCGCCATTGAGACGCTGGGATGAGGTGCAGTGCTGGCCACAGTCGCCGTGGGCAGGCAGGAACATGATGTCAGTGGACTTGGACATGACCCTCAGGTGGGACCCTCTGGGGGTTCTTTGGGCTGATGCACCTGTGTGGCCACATCCAACGCTGGGAATGTTGTATGAAGGGAGCTTCCCTGGGAGCCCATCCTTGGGCCTGAGAGCCCTTCCCATGGCCCTGGCCTCTGCCCTGGGTCAGGGAGAGTTCTAGGATGTTCTAGGAGTTCTGGATTCACAGCAGTGGTTTTGATGGAGAATGACTTAGAAGCCAACGTGTGGGCCTGCTATGCTTGCCTTCCCTGAGATGTCACGGCTGAGGATTCTCAGGGAACACAGTAGGGACCGTGCATCAGAAATGAGTTGAAGGGCCTCAGTAAACAAATCTGGGACCCAGTGAGTCTCGAAATAATGACAGTTAGAATGCACTGCTGAAATAGGAAGTGTGGGCAGCCCAGGTGGCACAGTGGTTTAGCACCGCCTTCAGCCCAGGGCCTGATCCTGGAGACCCGGGATCAAGTCCCACATCAGGCTCCCTGCATGGAGTCTGCTTCTCCCTCTGCCTGTGCCTCTGCCTCTCTCTCTGTTTCTCAAATAAATAAATTAAAAATTAAAAAAAAAAGAAAGAAAGAAAAATAAATAGGAAGCGAGAGCCATGGTGGGACAGGCTGAAGGTCCAGGGAAGCTCTTCTGTTCCATGGACACTGCCTTGGCAGCGTGGAAAGTGGGACCCACACCACCCACTGGAAACCCGAGAAACTCACCGTTCGGGCAAAACTCTTCAGTGTGTAGAAGTTTCGGGAGACACAGCATACTCACATGCTCTCAAAGCATCTTCCGAAGTATATGTTTTAATGAAAAGTTAAAAACCAATTTTAATTTGTTGAGCAAACACAGCTCCAATTTAGAAATCCCTTCCCAGTGGAACAGTCATTCATGCACTGCATTCGTGGTCCATCCAGTGTCACCCCAGCCATGAGGTAGGTGCCAGCAGGCCCATCCTACAGATGAGCAAACTGAGGCTCAGGGGGCTGGGAGAGTGGGCTTGGTCCCAAGAGTGGCTAGTGGCTGTGTCTTCACGTGGGAGGGCTCTGGGCCCCTCATAAAATTAATGGGAGACATGTGGGGCCCCCAGAGCTCCCTGAGCAGTGGCCAGTCTCCCTCTGCTGCAGGAGTGTGAAGCGCGCCCGGGGACGACCCCCATTCTGCCCTTGGGGGGCCTGGCAGCTCCCAGCAGGCATTGCCCAAGATGGCTCAGACATCTGCATCCTGGAGCTGTCCATCAGTGAGTGGGTCATACCCCCGCAGGGGGCATGGATGCTGTCTCCTCCATGGCCACTGTGGTGACGTCCGGTGGGGCCTGCGGGACCTGGATGACACAGGATCCCCTTATGTGTCCAGCTGGAGAAATTCAGCATGAAAACCACACCCTGCGCCCAGCCCAGGAACTTTGTGGTGCTCGGGGTCATGTTGGGTTTCTAAGGGGAGGACTATGGCCTCTTCCCCAAGTTGGCTTGGCCTCATACCAAGGACTCAGGCCCTCTGAGAACGGGGACCCCCACCCACCCCAACAGCATCACCTCCAGTGGGTCAGGGCGAGTGAGATGACCAGTAATACCTGTTGAAAGGTTCTTGACTTGGTGGATCTCTCTGAAAGACAGAGACATTGTGTCACATGGAGTGGGCCTCACAGCCATGGGTTCAGACCTGAGCTCCCAGTTTCTCACTGTGGGGCCTTCCGTGAGACAGGGGCCCTCTGGGACACAGGCCAGACCCATGTGGACAGGGCTGCTTGCTGGACTTGTCCCTTGCGGAGCCCAGGACCTGTGACAACATGGAGCTCCTCCTGCCCAAGTCCCTAGCCACCAAACCTTGTCCCTAATTCACTCCAGTGTGATGGTCATCCAGGGACAGGGAGCAAACACTTCACAGAGGAGGGTCCCCCCCTCAGGGAGCAGGTGCCCCAGAATCCGGTGAGAAAGAACACTGGCCATTGCCACCCTCTCAGAGCCTGGGTCCCCGAGACCTGCCTGCAGCCTGGGCCCCAGGGTGAGGACCCAGGACACACAAGCTGACAGTAGTCCGAGAAGGTGGCCATCCTTCCCCATTCGGACGACTTTGCTGAGTGCCTACTCCCTATGGGGCATGGCCGGGGCCCCCAAGGGCCAGAGCTGGGCCTACAGAGCCAGGGCCTGGCCAGATGTGGAGGCAGGCACGTAAGTGGGCCCCTCGGGGTGTCAGCATTGCCTGTGGCAGGGTCACTGCTGCCCTCCTGCACCATCTCCGTGCTCCCCCTACTCCGTGCAGCCTGCCTGGTGCTCCTCTGCCCCTGGGGGCAGAGAGGGCCTCCAAGTCCAAGGTGGGGAGTGAGTATAAGGGCAGCAAAGGGCTCCTGGAACAGGGGATACTGAGCTCCCGGCCCCCCACTCTGGTGATCCCATGACATCAGGACGCCCACATCTCCAGACCATCAACAGCCCACCAGAGGAGCCCAGGAATCCTGGAAATGCTCCTGGGGGCCGCCTCCCCCCATTTGCAGGACAGGCTGAGGGCCTCAGAGATGGACTGCTCACCATGCTGCCTTCTATGTTTCATCCAAAAGCAGAGGCTTATGAGGACAAAGAGCACTAATATACCAAGGAAACTGCTCATAAGGGGAGGGCCCCAGGAGGAGCATGTGACATCAGAGCTGCTGGTCCCAGCATGTGCTTCCCGCTGAAAAGGGCCGCTGCACCTAGGAGAGAGCCATGCAGAGGACAGGGAGCATCCCGAGCGCCCCCGCTGGCCTGCACTCCCTCAGACCCAGGGGCGCTCCAGCAGGTGAAGGCAGCTGCCCAGTAAACCTGCTCCAGCTCCGGGTGGGGAACTCACATCCATCTTCAAGCCTCACTGCTCTGGGGAGACGAGGGAAGGATGAGGTGGGAACACAGGGATGCACAGAGAGGAGACAGGGACAGGGATGGGCCAGAGGAGACTGGGCAGAGAGAGCCCTGGTCAGGGGGGGACACCCTTCAGGGCCAGTGTGCCACCCAGAGGGACAGACCTGGGGGAGGCAGGATGGCGAGAGGGGACCCTTTGGCTGCCCTACAGCGGCCACATCTGGTCACCCCAGACTCCCCCCAGGGACACGGAGCACCCAAGTTGTCTCTGGGCCCCGGGGATGGTTATGCAGGGGATCTTCACTTTGGGAAACTTCCCTGCCAGCCTCCCCCTGACTCCACATCTACTGGGACCCCCTACAGCCCTGGCATCTGGGGACACCGCAGGGGACCCAGAATCTAGCAGCACCATCCCTCAAGATCTGTCCCAGGACAGAAGGTCCATCCTTGGCCTCAGGGAACTTGCATCTGCTGACTATCAGATGTCAGCTAGTGTGAAGGGGTGTGAGGGCCACAGGGTCCAAGCAGGTGCCCTGCTGGATGCCGTCTAGCCATGGGGAGCAGCAGAGCGGGGCCTTGGGGTCTCTGCAGCTGGGCAGCCCTCATCTGCCAGGGCAGCGTGGAGGAGCTCCTCCCGGGGACATGGGCACTGACACCACCCCAGGATCACCTACATGGTCCAGGGCTGGCACTGCTCCAGGGTCCCATTGGGTGAGAAGGTCCCGGGAGGGCAGTCTTCACACATCGTGTCCCTCCGCTCGGTGCCTGAAAAACGACAAGGCTGGCAGAGGGGATGCAGGGGCTGGAGCCGAGGGGAGCTGGGCTTCTCCCCCACAGGCTGGGGCCTGGGATCTGGGGTCTGGCTCTCCAGGGGGTACCAGGGACCAGGTGGCCCTGCTGCTGAGCAGAGAGAGCATGGGGTCTTTGGCTCACCTCTGGCCACTAGCCTCTGTCCAGGTTTGCAGGGCGTGTGGGGACGGCACTCCACACAGTCGTCCTCGTTCTCACTGATGCAGAAGTGGCCCTGGGCACAGGCGCACACAGTATTCTCTGTTCTGGAGCATTTCTGCCTGGTCACCAGGGCCATGGCTGGGACCCAAGAGAAGGAGCTGAGAGCAGCTGCAGGGGCTGCCCTGGGCAGTGCCGAGCACCCCATCCCAGGAGGAGACCAAGAACCTGTGGGCCTGTGGGCTCCTGCCTGGGGTCTGGGGATGGGACGGTGAGTGGCCCCCAGCCCAGCTCTGCAGCCCTGGTGTGTGTGTCTGGGTCCCACTCTCCTCCTGCCCCAGGACCCAGTCAGGTGCCCGCCCTGCTCAGCCCGAACCCGGTGCCTGCGGGTGTGGACGTGTGGAGGGTGGTGTCCAAAGGGGATCTGAGGGGCATGAACAGCAGCAGAAGAGCGCTGGAAATGGAGGAGGGGCCAGCGGTCAGGAGGATGGGGGTGTCCTCAGTAGGGCAGGCGGGGCCCACAGAGGAAGTGAGAACCACAGGCAGCCGTGGGTGAGTCCCAGAACGTGGGTCCCAGCCCTAGGCCACCCATAATGAAGTCCCATCCCTCAGACAGGTTCCCGGCTAACAGGCTTTTCTGAAGCTGCTGACCCGCCTCTAGGGAGAGACAGGTGTGGACAGAGGCCTAAGTCCCCTGGAAGGGTTCAGACACTGAACCCTGCAGATGGGTGGGGCCTGGCACACCTGGTCCTGGCCATGTGGGTGTGCCGCTGCAGTGCTGCAGTGGGACAGAGTGGAGTGGTGGCTGCGGCCAGTGCTCTCACCTGGGTCACACATTCGGCACTGCAGACACTCGCTCAGGCCATTGAGGTGGGCCGTGTAGGTCCCCGGGTCACAGGGAGCACAGACCGTGCCAGTCAGCTCCCCACAGGCCTCCTTCACCCGGTAACCTGCACCCAGAGGGGCCGCGTCACTCGGGCCCGACTAGGACCCTTCGGGAGCCCCCAGAGGGCATGACACCCCCCCAGAACAGAAAGCCCTCTTGCTGAACCCCCACACCATACATGGTCCCCTGCTGCCTCCTACCAGTGAGCCAGCTCTGGGGGCAGTGGGAATGCTCTGGACAGAGGTGAGGACCTCCTGGTCCTGTGCCCACTGTGCCCCGGTCCCCACTCTGCGCCCCAGCTTCTGGCCACTAACCGGCTGGCTGGCTCCCCCAGGCCACCTGCCTGTGCAGTGCAGTTGTGAGGGGCTTGAGGGAAGAGTCCAAGCTCAGGGTGTTTCAGCCCTCCCCCATTGGTACCCCTGCCTCCAGGGCTTCACTTGGCCCCTGGTGCTGAAGCATAAGCCCCTGGCCAGGGAAGGGGCTGTCCTGGGTGGCCCCACAGAACGGGTCCTTCCAGGACCGTACCTACCTGGGCTGCATTTGGGACAGCACTCGGACCCTACCGGATACTCTTCCTCTTTGCAAGGGGCTGTGGCAAGAGCCCAGGGGAGGGACCCCAGGAGGAGGAGGTACAGGGCCTGCAGGAGACAGGATCAGCACTGCAGGGGAGCAGTCCCAGGGCTGCCCCTGGGGCCCCAGGCTCTCCCCCTGTGAAATGGGGCGGCAGCAGCCCTTGAGGAACTGCAGGGTCAGAGCAGGGACAGCTCTGAGGAGCCATAGCCCTGGTGGGGAGACAGGTGGCTCTGGCCTGGGGGTGACGGGGGCTATCTGGGGGACCCTGGTTCCAGGGCTGATCCTGTCTGGTACTGTGGGTGCCTTCCTGAGGAGTTAGAGCCAGTGCTAGCCGCCTACTGAGCAGAGTCCTGTGTTTGCCTTCTCTGCACAAATAAGGACTTTGTCAAAAGCACTGAGCTGCCGGCAGAGGCAGGGGAAGAAGGGTGGGCTCTTGAGCTCCTGCTTTCCCTGTGGTGGGGGCCCGGAGACGGTTGGGGAGAGGGCCACAGAGGAGCATTTCCGCTGTTAGTGGGTATGGCTTCAAGCCACTCTGCTCACAGACTCTTGACTCTCGGGGGTCAGGGGACAGGTTGCAGGGGGTTGAGTCCACCCAAGAGCTACAGGTAGTGAGGGGACAGGGCACAAGTGAGCCAGGAAGTGGCTATGGCCCAGGGCAGGGTGCAGGGAGCACACCCAGCAGGCAGGAGGGGATGACAGGAAGTGCTGAGACACAGGGACACACAGACTCAGGGCACTCACCTGGCTCAGGGCATCAGCCTTGGGGGCCTGGCTCCAGGGGGGCAGCTCCCAGCCTCGAAGAGGCCCCATGTCCCCCTTCAGGACCCCTCATTCCCCAGCTGCTGTCTCAGGACCCCTGACAACAGCAGAGCGACCTTGCACTCAGCCCAGAGCCTGACTTCCCTAAATGGAAAGAGAAAGAGAAAGTGTTTGTGGCCCAATGAGAAGGCTTATCATTCTACAACATTCTTCAGCTCAGCCTCCAAAATAACTGCCTTTGCTGAGGCCCAGCTGCCCTGCCTGGGCCCAGAAGCCCACAGTGGCAGGGGGGAAGAGGGCTGCAGCGCTGGCTGTGCAGAGGGCAGGAGGTGACCAGATGCAGAAGTGCAAGGCAAGGGGAGGGGGATGCAGAGGCAGGAGGCGAGGCGGGACCTCAGTGGGGGTGGGGGTGGGGGTGGGGGCACAGTTCCTCCTGTCCCACTGAGGGAGCCCGCAGTGCTGGCTGAGCAAGTTCTCCTGGCCTCTCCCCTGTCCCTCAGCATCCCCCACCCCGAGGTTCCTGTAGAGCTGGGTGCACCCTCCAAATGTATCTGCCTGCCTTCTGTCTGGGCTCTCACACTCCGAGAGCCCGCCCCCCACACCCCACGCCACGGCTCAGGCATCAAGGCTACAAACAGAGCCCTCCAGCTTCCTGTCTCAGCTCCCGAAGTGGGATGACCCCATCCCTCCAGAGGAACCCATCTGGAACCCTCCAGAACGTCTGTCTCCCATGCGGCGGCGCCCTCCAGGTGTGTCCCCACCTCTATACAGGATAGGGGTGACTGCTTTCCTCCTACAGGATCCTGAGCACAGCTCTGCAGAAGGGGTCTCTCCCCAGACCACCCGGAGCTGGGGGAGGCGAGCTCCCTTGGTGCCCCCCCACCCCCCTGCCGCCACCATGAGGGAGATGGAGGGGAGTGACCTCCCTGACCCTGGGAGCTGGAGGGATGTAGAGCATCCTCAGTGTCCCCCCCACCTCCATGATTGGGGGGGGGCGACACTATACTTTCCCTGAGCCCCACCACTGTATTCACACCCCGCCCCCACCCTGTCACTGGGTGGGGCCCAGCTGATTAATTCTTCCCCCATTTCACAGGTGGGTCATGGCCCAGGGTGTCTGGGGTACAACTGCTCAGACCCAAACCCTGACCTCCCCATCCCAAAGGGGCTCTCCTCACCTTGGCTTCTCAATGCCACCACTGTCCCCAGAGCTGGAGGTGGTGTGGACACTTTAGAGGTGGGGGACCACTGCATGCCAGGTGCCCTAAGAGGCTGGCAGCGGGCTGGTGAGAGGCAATGCACCCCTGCTAGAGCCTCCAATGGGAAGTGTCCTGGGGAGTCTCCCCCGTAGCCCTGGGGCTCCCACGTCACACTTCAGCCCCATGGCCCATGTGATGGTCACATTTCAGCCCTGTGGCTCATGTGATAGGAGGGCTTGGCACCCTCTGACTTCCCCACAGATCAACAAACTGGCCCTTCCCTCCCAGCAGACCCGTGCCGACACTGAGGTACGTGTCCAGCTCCACGGGCCTCGGGGCAGGACCCCATCAGACCAAGGAACTGCCCTCTTCAGTGAACTGATCGCTGGTCGCCCATCCCAGATTGACCTGGAGCCCCTTCCCTGTCCTGACCTTAGCACCAGTACCCTGGGGTCACTACCTAATCCCATTGCCAGGGGACAATGGGATGCCAGGGAAGGACACAGGCAGGGGTGAAGTCCTGGGGCTGAAGTGGGGACTGCCCCCAGACCTGTGGGCCAAAGCCTCCCAGGGCTCAGAAGCGAGGTCCACCCCTGACCACTGTCTCCCAGGACGACCAGCCCAGCCTCCCAGGCAGGGAGGGGGCAGGTGGGACCCAGGGCCTTGGGAGCCCCCACGAGGCCCCCGCAAGCCCCGGGGATGCCCCCACCCTGCACGGGCACCACGGTGTGCCCTACTTGGCATCAGCAACACAAAGGACTGCTGGCCCTTTCTCATTCCACACGGTCACTGGAAACCATTTTACAGAGAAATCACTGAACGGGGGAGTCCAGCGGTGGTTGTGCGGCCACGTTGCTATAATGGACACTCCCGGGCCTGAGATGTGCCTCAGGCCCCACCGGCTCATTCATCCAGCAGCACTTCCAGGCGGCAGCTCTGTGTCACCTGCAGGTCCTGCCAGGACCCTCCAGGGTACCTTCCCTTTGCTGTGTGGCCTGGGGGCCCGCCAGGCTGGGGGGGGTGCTGCTCCCCTCCCATCTCTGTGCCTCACCCTCAGGCCACGGACGTCCCCAGAGTACTTTCTGGGAGCTGGAGCCAGGCAGGGAAGGAAGGGGTGACACCCCGTGTCCCCATGGGAACAGGCTGTAACCGTCCCATCTCCGGGGTGCTTGCTGTGGGCCAGCCGAGCCTCGGGGCTCCAGGGGCGGGGAAGAGAGAGGTTAGGTGGCCCGTCCAGGGCCACTGGGGACACGGCTGCTCCGCGGCTGCACCGTGCTCGAAGCCCCCAGCCTGGCTCCGGGTTGGGCCTCCAGGGTGTCCCAGTCACTGCTGCAGAGTGGGGCAGGGGGTGTGCAGGACGGTCAGGTTGTCCGCTCGGGGGCCCTGGGTGGAACTAGCTGAGCCAGGGCGACCCTGGAGATGGTCTGCAGCTGCCCCTCCTGGCTCCAAGAGGCCAGAGGACGTGCCTGATGCTTGTCAGCCCGCGAGCCGAGGCTGCCCCGTGCCCGCTGGGACGGAGGAGTCCCCGTGAGCGCCTGCAGTCCTGAAACAATGAGCAGCATCCGGGAACGAGGCATGCAGGGGGCCGCTGTCTGGTGTGACTCTGACCTGGACTGGGCCTGTGTGTGAGACCCTGCCTGTGCCGTGGGCATGGTGGTGCCACCGAGGGGGAGAGGCTGGGACTCGGGGGACTGGGGGTGAGGCCCCCGGGGCCGGGGCTGCCCAATACTGGCTACGTCTCCTCACCAGAAGCCAATTAGAAGTGTCCCCACCCTGCGCCATCTTGGTACACTTATACCCTCCTGCCTCCGGGGTTTTCCAACCAAGGGGAAGGAGCACCCTCTCTGTACCCTCCATTCCGCCCTCATGAGCCTTGGGAAGTATTATAGAATGTTCTAGGAACCCCAGCCACACACAGGTGCCTCAGAGCCACTCAGGAACCCAAAGCAGGGGTGGGAGTTCTCTCTCCTGCTACACCCCCCACTGACCTCCCAACTCCTGCCATGCTCTTCAGGATGGAGGGGGCTAAGGGTCCCTTCGGCTGGGACTGACCGGCAGCCACCAGTGTCCTCACAGTCACTACCTGATTCTATTTCCAAGGGACCCTGGGGAGGAGACCCTGATCAGGGCCAGTGACAGGGCAGGAGTACCCGATTCATCATGGAGGGAGCGAGATAGAAGAAGGGTGCCGGCTGTCACCTGCTAGGTGGGACCCTCCCCCTCTGTGCTGGGACCCCCCAATTCTACATATCTGAGGCTCCCTGTGGCTCATGCACCCCATCCTTCCTGGTGGGTGAAGTGGAGCCCATACCCCATATAACCTGGGCCCTGGGATGTACTCACCCCGACCCAACCAATTTACGCCCAGGGCCCCACAGGGCTCATGCTGGGTGGCTCACCCTGAGGGCTCAGGGAGGGCCAGGCTACCTCACTGTGACCTCCTGGTCAACACAGCACACAGGGCTTCTGGGAACCCCCCGGTCACATTTCCCCTTTCTTCCTGAGACAGATTTCCAGGGTGTTGAGGGGTGGGAGAGAGATGGTGAGAACCACAGGGCTGGAGCCAAACCTGGAAGCTTGAGGGGACGTCCTGAGGCCCCATGGCAGAGGCACCCCCTCTTCTATGCATCCTCAGCATCCCCTGCTCTGTGGGAGCCCCAGGCTGGACAGTGGGGATCAGAAGCAACACAGCCTGGTCCTCACCCTCCTCGGGCTCCAGGACCAAGGAGGGAGCCAGAGGTACAGTCACATGGGGAGCTCCCCCTTAGTGGGGGGCAGCTGCCAGGAGGAATGAAGGATGCCTAGGTGCTCTGGTGGAGGGCCAGGTGGGAGAGGGCGTTTCTGAGGAAGAATGTAGGTTGAGCGATGCAGCTGGGCGGTAGCTGAGGTCCACTCTGGGTGAGGCGTGGGGCTGGCACAGAGCAGGCTGCTGTGCAGGGCAGACGGCGCAGAGAGGACGCTCCGGGGGTGGGCCAGGCAGAGCCAGGGGGAGGCAGGGGCAGGCTGCAGAGGCCAAGGGCAGCCCAGAGGTGGGAAGCCTACAGGACGCAGCTCCAGCTGTCACATGTAGAGGAGAGTGGACAAGGGACCACGCGGCAAGCCCTCATGCCTGCAACAGAGGGGAAGGATGCGGGACAGCAGTCAGAGGAGGGCCTGGGGGTGCTAGGGTAGCCCAGCACTTCCCAGAGGTTGAGCACCCAGCTCCTGGGAGCAGAATTGGGGGACTGTCTCCCCCAAGCTCCAGACCAGGGTATCAGCTGCTGACCCCCTCCCCGCCGTCCCAAGCTCGGTGTGCCCGAGCACCCTCGTCAGCTCCTCCCCAGCAGTGTTAAGAGCCCTCTCTTCCCACCCAAAACCAGGAGCCAGGAAGCAGCTGTGCTCCACACCCCACAGCCCCACACCCCTCATCCCGGCCCTTCCAGGCGCAGAGAGACGGCTCTGAAATGTTCCCCCACTCTGTCTCCAAGCACACCACGCCACCCTCAGCCCCTCTTCTGCTGCCAAACAGCAGCTGGGGCACCTTTCCAGCTCAGATCAAGCCGTGTTGGCCACTCCCCACACTCTGCAGGGCCTTGTGCCAGAGCCCCTCTGTACTCCCTCACTGTGGGCCGGTTGGGCCCTTGCACCCTCTCCCACCCCCCCCCCCACCTGCCTCTCCTTACTCCAGCCACACTGAGCCTCAGCCCTTGTGTCCCAGAGCTTGATGCTTACCATCTCCTCCTTCCCTCCTGGGTGGCAGTAAGTTGGCCTACACTGGGTCCCCGGGGCCGGGCCCTCACCTCGCAGTAAGGTACCAGCACCGCCCTCACTCCCACAGCCACCCTGTGCAGCTCGTGGTTAGCACCCTGGGGACCTGTGCTTCATGGGCCAGGAGATGGAGGCAGAGAGCAGGGCAGATGAGGGAGGCCACCACTCCAGGAAGAGCAGGTGAGCGTTCCGAGTCTCAGCTCAGCACTGCCTCCACTTTCAACTCAGGGAGAGAGTTCTGGAAGACTGTGGAAGACAGAGCCCACCTTGTCCCCATTCCCTGCAGACATGCTGGCACCTGCAGAGCCACAGGGGGCTGGGGAGCAGCATAAAGCTCACTGCCAGGATGTGGAGGGAGAAGCCAGACCCACAAGGCCCCAAAGCATGGTGGCATTGATTTGACACACTGGAACAGTGGGTCTAACCTAGAAAAAGCAGGTCAGGGAGGCCTGGGCCAGGGGCAGTTGTGCCTGCGAGGGGCTCACCCCAGTCGGCTGCTGGGGGTCTGAGACAATGTGCATTGGGCTGGGGGCACACATCTATTTCTCTCCATTCTGGACACTGCAAGTCCACCCTGCCATGTCCTCACACAGCCTTCCCCTGTGCACACATGGGGAGAGAGCTCAGGTGTGTCCTCTTTGTTCTCTAAGCAGGCTCCATGCCCAGCCTGCAGCCCAATGCAGGCCTTGAACCCAAGGCCCAAGATGGAGAGCTGAGCTGACATCAAGAGTTGGACACTTAACTGACTGAGCCCCTTAGGCAGCCCTGCTCCTCTTCAGGGCACCAGTCCTATGGGATCAGGGCCCCACCCTTATGATGTCATGGAATCCCAATTCCCTCCTGAAAGTCCTGCCTCCAAACGCAGTCACATTGGGAGTCAGAGCTTCAACACACGCATTTGGGGGGCACACAGTTCAGGGTGGTCTCCAACCAGAGTGTGAGCTCCTGAGGACAAGGAGCTCTGTCCGCTGCTCACCACTGTATCCCCAGCACCTGGCACATAGCCAAGCCCACTGGGTCTCCGTGATGTGGGGGAAAGCCTCCCATCCGTGGAAAGCCAGCCCACGCCCTCTGCAGGCCTTGGTGTCCTCAGGTGAATTAAATGACGTCACAGTGTGTCAGCATCGACAAGGACACGGACCAAGTGTGCACTCAGGCAAAACAATCACTGTCAGGCCCCAAACACAGCCAGCTGACCCCACTGGCTTATCACACTCATCGCCTCTGCCCTGCCCCTTCTGTTTACGACATGGGCAAGGCGTGTTAATGTTGGGAGTTAACCGGACACTCAGGCAGTGAGGGCCAGGGTCCCCCACAAGGAAACAGGGAGCCGGGATGGCGAAGACGTAGCACACTAGCATCCTATTTGACAACGC